ATTGAACTACCAAAATATGCCTTTTTTTTGTATTTGCACTACCAATTTGGTTCCGTCAGAAACGTTCTTAACTGTCCCTGTACCTCATGTGGTGGTACTGTTGCAGCACCAACTCCCTTTGCTCAGGCTAGGTCAATCACGTGAACTTCCAGCCTCTCTCTGTTCTTCTTTTCCCATCAATTCTTTGTGAATTGGGTTGACAATGTGAATGTATTCTCGTACTTGAAAGCTGGATAAGTTGCCAGTCTGTGTCTATGTGCTCTGAAACACAGCCTGTTGTTTGTGTGTGTGTAAGTGCTTACCATTTCATAATAGCTCCTAATGAAATTCTAGATCTGTAATAACATTTTGGCTATCTAAAACAAACCATATGCTTGTAAAAAAAGTGGAAACAGATCGGCTTTAAGCCATAAATTCTGGGTAATGGAGCGCTTTTTCTCCCTCTTTATGTTTGATAGATATTTTTGTTTCTGCAGGAATGTCAGCTCCTAATTTCATGATGTATCATGGGTTTAGGAAAATGGAAATTAATAAAGGCGTAAGATGAATGGCAGCTTTAAAGGTCCCAACACTTGTCTTTATTAGCAGGATGGACAGCAGGCTCCCCAAATTCTGCTGTGCTTCAAATGGAAGTTTTAAATGAAAAGTAGCGCAGGGTGTCGCAGGTTACATTTCATTGTGGGGCTGGTTAACATTGTTAGTGAGCAGTGGTGCTGATTTCATAGGGCTGGTATCTGTTGTTGTAGATACCAGTGGAACAAACATTGTCAGACATTGGAAGAAAAAGTCATTGCGCTCTCTCTCTCTCTCTCCCTCTCTCCCTCGCTCTCTCTGCCTCCCCCCCCCCCCCATCTTTGGGATAACAGGCTTTTGGGAAGGCCCTTTCTGCTCCTTTCAAGAAAGCCAAGAAAATGAGGTGGGAAAGTAAAGCTGTTGTATTTTTCCCGAGGGCATCTGATTTTTTCCCTGTCAGTCTTTTGTAGTCTGATAGTTTTCATAGGCCGGCAATAATTTGGGCTATCATAAAAATTTCAGACTTGTTCATTTTATTTCCTCCAGCTGTTTTAAACTAGCCCTCCTGAAGTTGTGCTGCTTGCCTGGGTCTGTCTCCCTTAATGCCTAAGATCATCTGTTGTCCCACGAGTTGACCTGCTAGGAGTAGTAGAAGAGAGAGATTTAGGCAGGCTTGATGCTGTTAAAAGCCCTATCACTGACAGACCATGTCCACTCCTTGCTGTGTGTTACATGAGGCTCGTGGGTGAGCAGGGGGCATATAGCGTGGTGGGGAAAGGGAAACTTGAAGGTGGAGTGTATACCCATGTGTTGTTTCTCTACCTGAGGAGTGTTCCTTGAGGTGAATTGCACAGGATGAGGGGAGAGCAGGACGTTCCTGGAGAAGAACATCTGCCACTGACTCCTTTCCCAGTCTTCCTTCTGCACTCCTGAGAGCTAAGCCAGGTTTTTACTTAGCATGGTATCAAAACAGAGACTTGTGGCCTGTCTCTCCAAGCCCCACAACAAACCCTGGTTACAGCTTGTGGTTGTATTGAAATAGGAGCAGTGACACGTTGCTGTTTAATACATGTTAAATTATGACAACCAAGCTCATGCAAATTTGTTATCAACTGCAGACCCCGCTCATGTGCATGTTGAATCAAAAGTAAATTGAGCAAAGTTACTAACGGGCATTATCAGCACATCAGTTTTTCAGGCATACTCTGCTCTAGTTGTGGGCATATGAATGCAGCATGTGAGCCTATAGAAAGACTAGAAAGCTTACATTCTGCAGAAGTTAAGGTGCAAGCCCTTAATTTTCAATCTCTATATTTTTTGGTGCCTGAACGCCTTTCCTAAACTCAAAATCTTTTGATTTCTAAAATGCCCCCCACCGCTTTTTAAAGGAAATGCAGTGAAGTGCACCTTCTGTAACAGTTATCACCCTTCATGTAATTGCTGATCACTGAACAGGAATTTAGTGTGTGTTTATAGCAAGTGGTAAAATTGTACCTATTGAATTTTGTCCTGGTCATGTACTGCTGTTGTCTTAAAAGATACATTATCTATTGGCCAGAAACAAACAAAATTTGGAAGTGGCAAAAATCACTCCAGCCAAAATTTGTAAACTGCTGTAACTAAGGCATTTTAATCTGAATTATTTGAAATTTGTACAAATGGTCTGCCCTCATCATGAAGATTCCCTATACTAAAATTCATTTCATCTGACAAATAGTATCTATTTTTCCTAGCAGTATACTTTTCTTTGCTTTATAATAGCAGAATGCTGGAAAAGCAGTTACACCTTAACTTTATACTTGAGTGTTTAATATCTTTCTGACTTTCCCCCCCCCATACTTTTAAATTGCAAATAGAAAAATTCTCCTCACTCTCCCTATCTTTCTACAGTTCTCCTGCCTCTGATATAGAGGGTGGTGTTATGATACCCGCCTCTCCTAAATGTAGTTTGCAGGATTAGAGCCCTGTATTTCCCATGTTTTAATAAATTCTATATTGGTGCCCACCAAATAAAAGCTTGATACGAGTATTTACAGAATTTAATCATAGGTTCCTTTTTTCTTTATCTTCCTTTTTTATTTCCAAAAGGAGGGATACACAGTCAAAATCTAAAGTTGTTTGTTGTATACACGTTGCTTTGTCAGCATACTGATGTCATTGCCTGACATTTATGACCTCACAAGTCATGATGGGCAGTGGTGTATGGTCAGGGCCCAAAAGCTTTGTTCAGCGCCTGCACAGCAGCAGTTGGCTTCTTAAGATGCAAATGTTGCCTGGCAGAGGAGCTTTTCTTTTTCTCTTTCGTCGTCTTTTCCCTCTTCCAGATGTTTTCAGGCAGTTTTTTGTTGTTGTTTTTAAACTAATTCTATTCATGTTTTAAAAATTTATGAAAGCACTAATAAAAATGTCAAAGTGGTAAAAATGTTAGCTTTTGCTGTGCTTTGATTAAATTTTGCAAACTGTTTTTGAATATTAAAAAGCAATTTTTTTTATTCTCTCTTTTCTCCACAAGTGATTTGAGAGGCTCGATGCTTGGCTATCACTCAGTGGGCTCATTTGCACTCCAGAGCCCCAGCATCATGCTTCTCTATTAAATAACGCAGACAAATTATCCTTTAAAGACACCAAGCAAATTGTCACTCCTCTTACATTAAACTCGGGAGGGGGTGGAGTGTGGAGGAAAGAGACAAAGGAGTTTATCGTTTTTATTCCTTGGGTGTTTTTTTTAAATTCCATGTGTATATTTTAATAATTGCTAAATCTATCATAACTGCATTTGCTTAAACTTTTTATTAACAAGCCCATGTAAATTTTTGATTTTTCAAATAGCTGAACATGCTCTTGTTTCTCTTTCCCTCTTATCAGTATAAATTTGCCACAGAACATAATAATGTCTACAGTGTACAGGGTTATGTACATGAGTGTGTGTGTATATATGGATATGGTGTGTGGGTGGAAGATAGCGTCTAACATTTGTCTTGAGTTTCTATGGAAGAGTTTCTTAAAAGCAGAAACCCAACAGGCTGTGCCTTCAGTTCTAGCTATTTGCACCTGGGACAAATGGGATGATATTGTGGTATGTGAGCTGAAGTTTATTTGTATATTTACACGCAATGTACATTTTTCTCCCTTTCCTCTATTTCATGTGTGTATGCTTAGGTTTAAAGCCCCCTTGGGTAGGAACTTGTGAAGCTTGCTCTTTGCAAAGTATCATGTAACAGATGGCCACATATAATAAATAATGATAATATTTAATACTAACAATTTTAATAAGATCTACAGAAATGTAGTAAACAGGCAATAGCAGACAATAGCATTTTTTACTTCCAGAACATCCCACGGAGCCAGTCCAGGAGAATATCATGGTTGATGGTATAAAAATAACAGAGAGATCAAGCTGATGAAACAATGCCACACTCCCTTTAGCCCTCTCCCAGTAAAGGCCATCCATTGGGGTGATCAAGGCTGATTCGTTCCCAAAAGCAGGTCTGAAACCAGACTGAAATGGGTCTAGATAATCAGCTTCATCTAAGCATGCCTGCAGCTGCACTCACCATAACTCTTTCAATCAACTTCCTAAGAAAGGTGTATTAGAAACCAGTTGATAGCCAGACTAGTGGGTGCAGGGCGAACAATTTTAGGCATAGACACACTACTGCCTCTTTCACAGCAGCAGACACCACCTTGCCATTTAATGTGCATTCACCATGCTTGGATCCACCTAGCCATGCCCATCTGGCTAAGTTTTATTATCACTGAGGAACTGAGCTCAAGTAAGCAGTTTTGACGCATAGCTACAAGCAACTTGTCAACATCCTCAGGCTGCATCAACTGAAGCTGATCCCACAAAGCCAAGCCAGTTGTGACATTAGACACCTCATATGGTTCTCCACCAACTAGGGCATTAAGATCACTGCAAAGCAGAGTGGCAGCTGACTAGTAGAGGATGAAGTGGCAGCAGCAAAATAGGCCTTCTTTGCTGCCTACCCTGCCCACATGGTAGGCACAATTACGTGCCCTAACCAGTGTGTGGTTGGCTTCAGTGCAAGATTTTTGAGAGTGTTGTGGCTGCAAAAAATAAGTCCTGGAGAAGGGATGCAGTAATAAATTGGACTAAATTTGCCCATCTGTGTAGAACGATGAGGCCCTTTGAGAAAAACCCCTTTGCCTTGGATCCATCCAACAGAGCCAGAACAGCAGGGAATTCTGCTCATGTTGCTGCAGTCTTCTGTGTTGCATTCAGTGACCTTCCTGAGTGGTTTTTTGAGGAGCGCAGGGGGCTCAGCAGGATGGAGGGGGCAGGAAATCCCCATTTCATTTCACTCTGCTTGTAGTTCTTCGGTTTTGGTTTCAAGCCATTGTTCCCATCCTGACTACTGCTCTTTGTCAGATATTACGTGCACTTTCCTTTCAGTTGTAGCTTGCCTTTTAACTTCCCTGAATGTTTCTTAAAAGTAACATTTAATGTATTAATTTTCTTATTGTAGGAGATCATTGAGTTCCCCATCCTGAAGCTAAATGGTCGGACAATGGAGATTGAATCCACCTTCCATATGTATGTGCAGCCAGTGGTCCATCCACAGCTCACACCTTTCTGCACAGAGGTAAAACACTTCATTTTCCTAGAGTTGAATGTTTCTTGTTGCTTAGGAATAGTCCCTTCTGAGAGCTGCTGAAATGCAGGCAGTTATTTCTAGTTTCCCTGCAGTTGCTGAAATCTTAGCTTATTGTTTGTTTTTATTAGTGCACTAGAATGCATTAGTTAGTTGCTGAGATGCTTGTATCATTGAAGTAGTTTAGGGACTTTGATTTTTACAAAGCTAAGATTGATAACTGTAACTCATTTTCTAGCTCTCCTCATCGTGGACAAATGGTGGAAAATGTTTAGGCAGTTTCTAGTACAAGTTTTGGAACTAGTGAGAATTTGGTTGGAAATTCCAACTTGCAGCAGGATAGGATTTGTACCTTGCACAGCCGTAGCCACTGACACTGGTTCAACATATTTCCCCCGGTTTCCTTATTGCCTTCCTGCCACTGTCCAGTTCCCATGCAAAAACTTCAGTTCAGCAGGAAGTAGTTTGTACATTGATTAAACATGGCTGCCAGATTTAGGATGCATCTAGATGTACATAATTTTACCAATGAGCCCACTCTGAAGTGCGTGTAAAATCATTTGCTCCAGACTAAACTCAGGGGAAACTGTTTTTCTGATGTTCAACAGAAGCTGGATTTGCATTGCATTGATTAGCTGGCCCTTGTGCCGATCATGAAGCCACTTCTTTTTCCCTCTCCTTTCTTGGAAGATTTTTTAAGAGTAAAAATAATGTTTAAAAAGTTAAACCCTGGATTATGGTTTGCTGCAAATTAGGAAAGGGAGAGGGAATTGCTACACGTGAAAGGAAGAGAGGGGAGAGTGTATGCCATCAACTCTCCAGGCTTATTCATATAATGCTAAAACTTTGCTGGTAAGTCTGGTGTATTGGCTTCCTCACCAAAATAACCTAGTTATTTCCTAGTTTTAAAATGGAGAAGAAAAGAAGTTGTGGTACAGTGAAATCTTCAAGACAAATTACAGTACATTATGTTCATAATCTATTCAGTGCTGGGGTCCTGATACCTAGATCAACTTCTGTATCAAAAAGAGCAATGGGAAATGGCATGGGGGAAAGGAGAGGCTATTGCTCTAATGTAAGCAGAAATTCTGCTTGCCATTTTCCATACAAAATGTGGCATTTATTGTCACTGAGCAGATGCATGCATGGTATCATTTCAACAGGTGTATGTCATGTCTTTGCATGTTACTATGATGGGACAAGGTGAATGTGGCCCAACTTCTCCCTTTTGTATGACATTCAAGGGTGTTTAAATCCTTTCCCATCTTCTGCCAGCGTTTCTAGCTGTCATGGTAGTGTCTAGTGTGGTTAATGATAGCATGGGCAGCAGGCTACACAGCTCCTGAGTCACCTAATGAGCCCCTTATTCTTCTGTTCCCCTGTGTATCCTCTCTCTCACCTCTTATTATAAGCTTTTGTCTAAATAGCTGTGAACGGCAACCCTCCTCTATGCTTTCCCCAAAGCACTGATTTTGCTAAATGCTGGTAAAAGGCTTTGTCTCTGCACCTCTACTTATAGACAGTAAGCTTTATAGGTCTTTTTGTCTGCACAGAAAGGCCAGGTCCGATTATCTGATGGTACGCCAGAGACAAGTGCTTATGTAATCAGCAAACTGTCTCAAGCTAGAAATACGATGGTGTACGAGATAAACACCAGAGAAAATCCATGCTGTTGACATTGTCTTGAAGTGTGTCTGGTGTGCTGCCCTCTTCTGTCTTTGCCATTTCCACAAGGGAAAGCTGCAGGGCTTGCCAAGGCAAAGGGAAGCATATGTGGCAAATTGACTAATTGCACACCTTTATCCAAATTTCTGTGGAGTTATCTGAAAAATGTGACTTGTTGCCTGGAGCACCATGAGATCTATTTTACTGATGTAGAATTAAACAGAATTGTGAGTCTGGGCTAATGCTGGTTTCCCCCCTAGATAACCTAGCTCACAGGGCCAGAAATACTTTGTCAACAGAGGGAGCTAGAAGACATGGACCAACTTACATAGTTTCTTTTTTCCATACTACACTGTACTCTTCCACAGTGGCCTGTGGTATAAGGTGCTCAAATTCTGGCTGCTATTAAAGTCAGATGGGCAGGCCATAGGTGTTTTCTTCTTAGCTTGGGGTCAGGGAAGCATAAACCTGAGCATGAACTATTTGTTTTTTCATATTTTCAGCTGAAACATACTGGTGGTAATCACAAAACAGAAAGAGGGAATCTTGTGGGATTCCTAGAGCCAATTTCAAATAGATTGTCTCTTCCAGGAACTCCTACCATTGTACCACCACCACTATCACTACTGCCTTGTCCATGAGGGGGCATTCATGACCAGGAGATAGTTACTGTGGACTACAGGGTCCAGAGTGGGCTTCTCTATGGGTGGATGCACTACTGCTTGTTGAAGGGCAGCAGGCACCACTCCATTGTGCAAAGATGTGTTCACCACACCCTGGACCTACCTGGTCGGGCCGCAACCTCAACTGGCTTTCACCAACCAGAATGGACAGGAGTCAAGAGAACAAGAAACTGTTCACATCATCAGGGTGCATAAACTGAAATTGATTCCAGAAAATATGGGAACATGTTGTAATAGACATCTCAACTGGACTTGCCAGAACAGCCATGCCATATACAGAATAGATTTGGATTCTGGTCCATGTCGCTCTATTCTTTGCAGTCCATTTTTAGTTGTTAGGGAAAAATTTTTTCTCATAACACGGAAAAGGAATAAAAGAGACATAGAACAGTTAGCGCACACACTTATTTTCCTTTTCAAGAGTATGTGAAGCCTGTAGGCAGCTGCTATTACCTAATTAAACTATGGATTAATATTAAAACAGTTTCAAGAATGCAGCCTCTCTGACCCCCTCTCTTCTTAAAATTCCACCTAATAATGACTTGATGAACTTCAGGAGTCCACCTAGAGGAACGTTGCATTCTGAAAATTAAAAATTTCCCCTAAAAGGTATATGTTACCATTCTAGGGATGTTACTGCAAGAAAATAATTTTCCATTATGAGCTGCTTATTCAGCTAGTCAGGTATTTGGTATTCATTAGATTCAATTACAGTTTAATTGGAGTTTAATCTTTACACACACACACACACACACACACACACACACTCCAATGATAGCCAGCCAAAGAAACACAAGCGTGGAATCTTGCTTGCTGGTGCTGCACCATGTTTTCTATCTAATATTATTTATTATTTGTATAGCACCACCAGTGGCACTTACAACATAAAGAAATGGCAAGACACACGTCCCTGAGGAGGCTACAGTCTAAATTTTGAATATTTGAGAACTGGCTTGTGGTTGTGGGAGAGGCAATAGAAGAGGGAGAATCAAAATGAAGTTTCATGTACCTGGGCTTGGTTTCATTTGGGAAACAGGATTGAAAGTGCTGGCTGGGGCTGATGGAGTCCAACAATATTGGGTGGACCACAGGTTCCCCATCCTAAAGACTGACCAGTTCACTTGCCTTATGTATCCCCACTATAGACTCAAACCACTTTACATTTAGTTGCATTAAACCAAAAGTAATGAATGGTGATAGAGAAGAATGTAGTGCACTATAAGAGGGAAACAGAAGTTTTATAGCAAAAAAGAAATACAAATTCAAGTCTGGCCTTTGCTTAATTCTTAGAATAGAGGTTCAGTGACAATCTGGCTTTTGTGGGGTGCAGGTTATTATCTGCCTTTCACAATAAAGCTGCTTGCTAAATAGATTTGGTTATAGAAAGAAATTTCCCCATTATAAATCTACTAATAAGTGTCAAATTTTGTGTTTATTTAGTGTTATTTATTTAAATTATTTATATTTTCCCTTTTGAGATCTAAATCCTACCAAGGCTGCTTACAAGTAACATTCAATTACATACTTTAAAAATACAATGAACAATGCTATTAAAAACCCATCAGGATCCTGTGGGAAGGAAATAGTCCAGCTGCAGCAGCCTTCCTTCTACTCCTGGAATCCTTCCCACAGGGCACATGGTGGTAGATCACCCTGGTGGGATGCGGGGAGGGAAGTTGTGAAGGGTTTCTGTATGGAGTTTTTATTATTAAGCATCTCCCAATGGTACATAAGGATTAGGGTTTCCTGTATCAGAACAGAGGCCTGGGACTAACTAACCTCTGTGTTTTTGTCATCAGTTTGGTGTATTTTGTTAAGCAAAATGATCACCCCACCCTTTCACTCCAGGCTATCACTGCTATAGAGTTACTGAGTTGTAGTCAATACTCTGCAAGTGAACAGCAGGACTTCCCCTTCCATGCCTCTCCTTGTGCACTCCCAAAATCAGCTTGCGAAGGCCCTCCGACCTTCTGGAGCAGATTTTGAGGTGGTGGGGGGCTGCAAGGGAGAGGAGGGGGAAGTTTCCTTGCATAAGTGGAAGTCTGCTGTGCAAGTGGAACAGCAGCATTGAACACAACCCTATGTTTCTGTCTTAACTATGAAACTTATTTGCTTCAGGCTTAATGTAGACCCATGGGTGATCTTCTTGAAATAACAGTGTAAGTATAAGAAGAGTAATTTGCGAATATCTATAAAATTGGAAAGATAGCTTTGTACTCCTGTCTGATAATGTTTTGATACTTATTCCTCCATTCCCTGGAAAGCAGCACCACTGATGCCCTGAGCATCTCGCTTTTCCGGAGAGGTTTATTTTATTTATCTATTTATGGTCCTTTTCTCTTGTGTTAATCACTAGTGTACGGGAGTGTCCGAAGACACCTTGGGCTGTAAAATGTAAATAAGGGATGCAGTAGGAATGGCACTGAAAAAACTTGCACACTAAAAAGGCAGGCGTTTTACTTATTCTATTAAACTAGAGCACCAACTGCAGGGCTCCCCTAAGGTAAATATTTGATACTCTGGAGAAAGTATTCATATAGCACTGTTGGTCCCGATATCATTGTATCATTACATGACAACAGTTCTTCTGTGACAAACAGCAAGGCTGTCGCCTCTTCTCTTCCATTCCCTAAAGCAGCAGTTTTCAACCAGTGGGCTGTGGCACCCTGGGGTGCCCTGAATGATAGTCAGGGGTGCCGTGGGCAACACTGGCTTCTGTCCCTCCTTCCTTCCTTCCTTCCTTCCTTCCTTCCTTCCTTCCTTCCCTTCCCTCCCTCCCTCCCTCCCTCCTCTGATGCCCTCTTGCGTCTCTGCCTTCCAAAGGCTTGCACAGCTGTTTGTTGCAGCAGCCCTGGCTACAAGCTCCGCAGGCGAATGGTGCCTCTGGGGGTGGTGAGGGGGTGCTTCCCAGGCCCCTGTGGGGCAGTGGGAGGAGGCACCTCTCTTTGGGGCAGAGGGGGCAGCTCAGAGACCAGGCATGGCAGCTGTGGCTGCCCATAGGACTCCCAAGGAGAGGGGAGAGGGGAGGAGGCTAAGGGAACACACCACAAGGGAGGGTGTTCGAAAAAGGGTGAGAAGCTGCCAGCTCTGCAGGCAAGGGGTGACATAACTTGGCTCATGAGCCCCACAGGGGTGCTGCAGAAAGAATGTACTTGGTCAAGGGAGCCATGGACTCAAAAAGCTTGAAAACCCCTGCCCTACCGTATGAGAAACGAACTAGAGTGTAAGTAAGAGACACTGACTTGCTCAGAATCACAGTTTGAGGCTGAGAGAGTGCATGAACATGCATGTGGATCTGTTCCACAGTTTCGATGCCACAGCTGAAAAGGCTCTCTCTCTCATCCACCAACTGCACTTAGCAGTTGGTACATTAAGGAGGACACTGAACAGGGTCATAGAATCACTGAAGTGTGGCTCTGGAAAGGAAGCATGGATGTCATCTAGTCCAACACCTTGAATTGAAAGAGGAGGATCCTTCTGACTCATCCCCATGAATATGTCAGCTCTATTAGCTAAATTATTGTGCACAAGAAGAGAAGAGATGTGGGCAAGATTGATTGTGCCTGGGCAAGGAATAATTTTAGTTCTATGAATTTTGATAGATCAAACTGGTGAGCCGGAGCCCCAGCCTGCAAGAGGAAGATACAGGCCTCAAATAAATCTCAGCTGAGAGAAAATGCTGTTCTAACCAAAGACCGTTCCTGTTATAACTGGGATAACTGTTGTGTTTGGGTCTCCAATAAGCTATTTCCCTTTAAAATCTCAAACTTAGCTGAGTGTGAAGCTTAGAACAGTATTCTTCCTTGCTTCGGACAGATCTCTCATCTGGATTTCTATGAGTGCCAGTGCTTTGGTACCATCTATATGCAGCACAGCAGTATTTTGCAGTATCAGTGAGAAGAGCAGGGAAAAAATCCATTCTTTTTAGTGTTATCACTGATTTCTTTGTTTTTGTTTTCTCCATTTCCTTTGTTTCAGCTGACTGGAATTATTCAAGCCATGGTGGATGGACAGCCCAGTCTCCAGCAAGTGCTTGAGGTAAGCCTAATAACCTTTAGTTCCTGACCTCTGACACCTCCTTTCCCTTCCCCCTTCCTCTTCCTGTGTATTGAACCACGTAATTTGACTATGATTACAGCTTCATTAGAATAACATTTGCTGTCACATCAGTGACATGCTGTTGAGAATATTGAACCATTGATCTGTCATTTCCAGCTGTTCTTGTCAAAGGTACTGACAGCATGTCCAGACTCCTGCCAGAAGTCATGAGGGGAGGTGTGTGTTGGGGGGACTCTCTTACAGGAGATGGTCTTCAGGGGTCAGCAATGTTGCATTAAGACAACTGCATGAAAGATGATAAATTAATGGACATATCTACTTAAATACTCAGTAATAAACAGAAAGAATAGGGCCCATGAAATCTTGTCTGTGATGGTCCTGAATGCAGGAGATAATCTTAATAGTGCCATCTGCTTAATGTTGAATTCCTGCCGCATTTAAGGCTTAATTAGCTGAAAGTACTTTTACAATCAATAGCTTTTGTTGTTTGGCATCTATGGATGGAGTCCTCCAGGAGGGAGAGCCTATTCTGACTGCAGCTCGATGTGTTGCTCCCATCAGGATTTGTGCCTAATGGTTCTTAATCAAAACAATTGTAACCACAGCTAGTGTAAGGAAATCTGATTAGAGGTTAAAGTTGTGCTCTCTTGCTTCAGGGCTAGCTTGAAATTGCCTGAGTGAGGCGAAAGGGGACAGCTATGAATCCCTGGATGCTATTCAGTTGTGAGTCTTCCTCCTGACTGCATTAGAAGCAGCCTCAGCTGGCCCGGATTAGAAGACTTTTCTTCTGCTCTTTGCTCAAAAACTTCCCCTGACAGGTGGAACGAACCTTCATAGTTTACTACTCTTTGGGTCTCCTTCCTGTGGTTAGTGCCACCAGCGAGACCCTGAAGGCCCATTCAATATAAGACAAGTGAAGAAATTTGCATAGGGTGCTCAGTATGAAACAATTATATTTTACAATTTCATCCAGAAGGGTGGAGCTACTGAGTAACGTTGGCACTTGAATAATTGCAGCTCCAGCAAAGGGTTGATACGCCCTGCTGAGAACATGAGAATCTATCCTATATTTAGTCAGACCGCTGGACAATCTAGATCACTATTGCCTAAAATGACTGGCAGTGGCTCTACAGGGTTTCAGACAGGAGTCTTTGCTACCTGTATCTGGAGGTGTCAAGAATGTGCCTTGGGTCTTTTTTTTTTTTTTGTATTCATTCATTTAATGAAATTTGTACACCACTCAAGCAAAATACCTCCAAGTTATTAACAAGAGACAAACATTAAAAACAAGCTACATTACAAAATGCAAACTAAAATCAGTAATTTTAAAACAATTATGCATACTAAAACCACCTGTTAAAATTGCATGTTAAATTAAATTTGTATGAGCATAATGAAACACAGGTTTTTTTAAGCAGACACAGAAAACAATATAGTGAAAGTACCTGTTATTTTATTGCCCTGCATGGTTCCTTGTGTCTTTCCAGTGCTCCTACTATATAGCCTGCTCCCATGTTGTCGGCCCCTTTTGATCCCTGTGCCCTATCTGCTGTCCTTGTTTCATATTCTTGTACCACTTTTCTGCTTCTGGAAAGAGGAAAATGTGTCCTTACACCTGTCTATTACAGAGAATAAGTTGATATTTGTTAGAATAATAAAACAGTGGAATAATTGTGTTTACAAGGTTATTTATTTGCAAGGCTTTCTCACTCCCTACTGATTTGGATAGGAACCCTTATTTTTGTACTCCGCTATTCCACATTTGATTGCTTGATGGGTCTCCTTGGTTAAAGTCCAGCTTGTTCTGATCCGAACATGATTCTGTAAGCAATTGCTTAGGGTATGTTGAAAAAGGACCTTTTGTAACTCTTGATTTAACAAGCTATCTGTTTTATGGCATGGGGAAGGCTATTCAAGACACACAGGAAATGGCCAAGTAATATTAAAATGTGACGGCCATTCTGTAAACAGAAGTGTTGTGATTCCTGATAAGATCACCCCTTCTCTGGCCGCTTGATGTCTCCTATCAGAAATCTTCAAAGGTCCAAGCATACTTTCATAGAGATGAGGAGGGGAACAGAATGAGATGGGAGGGGGGACAGCCGTGTCGGATAAGATCACAATTTTCTTCTCTTGTGATTGTGAGGCTTATCAGCATTTAACTGTTGTGTCTCTTTTCCATGTCTCAGAAAGCTCATCTGTTTCTTTCAGAGGGTCGATGAGTGGATGGCAAAGGAAGGCCTCTTGGATCCCAGCGTCAAGTCGATTTTTGTAACCTGTGGAGACTGGGACTTGAAAGTAATGTGAGTATGGGATGGAGGATTATGCATTCATGCTATGAGCACTCTTGCTGCTTCTCAATATTTCCTCCCTGCGCTAGGATTTTCATGTGTCTTCCTTATTTTGGAGAAGGGAAGTGTGTGCTACCATTTCTCCTGTATTTTAACTTTCTAGGTAGCACACCCCTTTTGGAAGTAAAATATCTTCAAATGGTGTGGTACTGATACATGTCTAGTGATGGTCATATCATGCCTGTCACCCTCTCCCTCTGCCTCTGTGCCAGCACTTAGCCATCTCGGAGGGGACATTATGGAGCATGCCACATTTGGGAGTAAAGGTGGCACCCAACATCTCCTTGGTCAGATACACAAGGTGCTGAGGTCCCCACGTATCCCTAGAAGTTGCATGCTTTGATGCATTCCTGCATCTCAGCATTTTCCCCCTGTCTAAATAGTCCATATTGTAAACAGACGGAGTGCAGGATAATGGCAGGTGCATTTTTTCTTGAACTTGAACCACATTACTGTCTGTTTGAAGATCCTTTCTTTCAGAAATGATGACTAACTTGAAGAGCAAGGAACATTGTATTTCTTGCTTGAGAAAAGATGAATGTATAGGGTTCATTTTTATCTCCCCCATAAGACTGTCAGTAGGTTTAAAAGGGGATAGTCTTTCTCTACTTTCATACTGAAAGATATCAGCTTCTGTACATCAAAATTAAATTAAAACAATAGTTGTGATGTTGACATATATTTTAATCTGCATTGTTTGGGGCCTTATTAGCCAAGAGCTCTCTTTTCCTAGACACCTTCTATAGAAAATCAGCTACAGCAGTTCATTTCAGTCAACTGCAATACAACTTAATAGTGGAGGAACTGATACAGCTCCATGTCTTTGTAACTCCCTGACTTGGTCTGCCACAATTTTGTATTATTGAACTACACAAGGTGCCTGGCATTATACTGATGTAAAGGGGTTAAGAACATAATAAGAGCCTTGCAGGATCAGACCAAAAGCCAATCTAGCTGAGCTTCCTGTTTTCTACAATAGTCAAGCAGAAACTCATGGACATGAAAGCAAGGGTCCTCCCCCTGCTCCTGTTCCTCAGCAACTTGTGTTCTGTATTCTGCCTCTGATCCTGTAGGCATTATATAGCCATCAAGACTTAGAGTCCTTGATAGCTTTGTCCTCCATGAATTTGACTAACCTCCTTTTAAAACCATCCATGTGGCATGTGAAAGTGTACTTCCTTTGTGGTCCTCTCATTCACACCCAGTGTGAAGAAGGATTTGAGGCTTAGTGGCCAGCAGGAGACACCACAACCATTTTGAATCTGTTCAACTACAGTGCGTTATTATGTTCCTTAATTGAGTGCATGTACATAAAAGCCACTTATCCCTGTTTATCAGTAATATCTGGACAGACAGAAAGCACTGGGGCTCATGTGACCCGATCTTTGCCTCTCTAGCAGAGTGATGCCGGTTATATTACAAGAAAAAGGTTGTGCACTTGACATATACAGTGCTAACCTGACACCCACAACTTGTTAGCTGTGCTGCTTGGCTTTCAATCACACGTGAATTTCTACAAGTCATAAGAGGGCATACTGCCAGAGAGAATCCATGCTTATTCCATTCAGCATTGAGAAGGATTCTTGAGCACTTACTTGCTTGGACTGATTACTAGTGCTAACTTGAAAAATTGGGGCTGAACTGACAGCAAAAGACCCAATGTGGAAAGAAATGGTGTTGCTCTTTTTTAAACAAAATAACTACTTTTTTGTATTTGTGTTAGCAGAACAATCTGTATCTGAGCCTTCTTTGAAGCCCTGTCTAGAGTCACCATAGATTGACCTTGTTGTAGAGATTTAGCAGGGCTTAATTTCCTTTAAAGCATCAGTATAACAAAATTAAGAATTTCATTGGCCTAAATATACATTCTTTATCCCTACAACTTTCTCTACATCTTGTTTTGGTGTTAGAGCATCTGGCCCTAAATCTGCAACACAGAGTTACCTTTGTGGGCAAGTCAAGCTTTCCCTGACCTGATGCCATCCAGATGTTTTGGATTGCAATTTCCACCAATCCCAGCCACCTGTGCTGGTTGGGGCTGAGGGGAGTTGTAGTCCAAAATGTCTGAAGGTCACTTGATTGGTGAAGGTGAGTTTCTCATATGTGATGTATCAGTGTCCCTACAGATGGCCAAGTGATCTCTTAGGTCATATCTATATAGCCTGTGTCTTTGGGATTAGGTGAGGAATTGTCATTGTATCAGTGCTAGATTCTGGTACTGCATAAGGACATTTTTGTGTTTAATTCTTTTGCCTTTGTGTGCCTCCAGAATCATTGCCACCTTTCACCATCACTTCAGTCTGTATTGCAAAAATCTCAGATTGTTGTCGTGCATGCCTCCAAGCTTCCAGAATAAAATAAACATATGTACCTCAACTTGTTTACCTGCATCATTTGGAGTTGTTTACCTGGAGAATTTGGAGTTACATATTCTGGTTGTCAACTTTTTACACTCCCTGGTAGTGAATCTTCTTTTGTTGAATCCTGTCCACATTTTTATTTAGTTATTTAACCAAATTCATATATCACATGATCGGAAATGCTTCCAAAAAGGTTGGAAGGTGCTGCTCAGCTGGAGCAGCTTGTCTAGTTTTTGTTGTCACATTTTAAGGGGGATACAAACAAACTGGAGAGGATTTGAATGAGCATCAAAGATGGTAAAGAGCTTGAAATGCATAAAAACCATAAAAGCTGAGTGAACTAGCTTTGCTGAGATTTATCAGGTCCATTTGTGCTTGTTTGCAAATAGAATGTGGAAGAGGCTGGCATAGAGAAGAAAGACCAGGATCATTAAATACAGAAAAAGAAGCAATAGTTCAAGTGTGTGCAGGCCTATTTTAAGTTGGACATTTGGTTGGCAGGAGTGAGGGACTTCATTCTAAAACAGCTAAGCAATAGAGCTAGCTAGTTGAGGTGTATAATTCTATTATGGAAGCCTTACAAAATATATCTAGGACAAACATATCATACACTTCTATGATTCTGTGGGGGAAAAGAACATAATGAGGATTTTCCTTCCTGCAATGTGGATTTGAGGCCTCATGGCCAGCAGGAGACACCACAGATCCTTTTTGAGTTTGTTAACATCATTCTTTGCGTATCTTCTACATGCATTTTCATTCATGTGGGAGGGAACATTCCATTGTAGCCTCAGAAGATGTTGTAAATGGCTCATCTCCCCCACCATGCATTTCATCTTATTTTAAAATGTTATTTTACACAACAGTTTCAGAGGCTAATGCTTGGATGTTTCTGGTGCCAAGTGGGAAACCTGTGGTTTTGTGATTCCGGCTTCATGGAAGTAAGGGCTTCAGCAGCTACCTGTTAATGAACAGCCCGTCACTTTGTCCCAGTGGAGATGGGCTGCGGAAGCCTTAGTGCCATCACATCTGATTAGCAGCATGTTGGCGAACATGGCTTGAGCTTGAGTGAGAGAGCGCTTCCTGCCAGCCCTGACTCGTCTCATTTCCACATTTACTTTTATCCATCACTATGAATGCTGAGGCTCCCTCCTGAACTAATTAAGTTTGCATGTGTTTAGACACATTGCCAAATAAGATTTAGCAAAGCAGAACTGAGCTACATCTCTTTTCAAATGGGATTGGTGAAGAGCTGATATGCTGCCTCAAGGACCAAAAGAGGCACAGTAGCTTGGATGTGCAGCATACCTCAGGTGTATTCCTCAGCAAAGTTCAATTATATTCTAAGAGTGCACTGGAGGGACGCTAACTAATATGTCATTATTGTGCAAAGGATAAACAGCTGTTTTGCTTATGATAGATGAGTGTGTGAGTTTTCAGGAATCATACTGGTTCAGATCCAGATTTTTTAAAAGTCAAAGGCCATCAAATGAGTTGCAAAAATATGTGGCAGGTTAACAGGTATTAATCTTTTTATTCCAGATAATAACAGGAAAATTAAATGATATTTTTCTGAAAATATATCTTCTGCACTTGAGGGAGCTCTCTATCTTGTGTTTCTCTTTAATGGGCATTTTAGTACAAGGAGCAAACATGGTGTTTTTTTTACAGTTCCAATTCATTGTTGGAATAAGAATCAGTGGCTCTTTCTTATTACTTTCCATCCTCTTTCTTTCAGTGTTTCAGAAAAAAAAATTATAAAGTTTTATCGCTTGTTGTTGCAGTGGAGGTGCTAACCTGTGACCCTTCATATATTGCTGTAGTATAGTTCCTAAAGGCCCCAGCAAGCATGGCTGATAGGAAGAATGTGAGTTGTAGTTCAGCAGCATCTGAGGGGCCACATCCTGCACCTCCCCTGTAGGGGCACATGAAGATGGACTTGAAGAAAATCTGAAGTGTTAGGTAGGTATGTGTAGGGATGTGGGGAAAAGAGTTCTTCAGTATCTTTGTTCTAAACTTTGAAAGGCCCTAAAAGTAAATACCAGTACTTTTTTTAACTCTTCCTGGAAATAGAACCAGTGAAGGCATTGAAGTACTGGCTTGATGTGCTCATATCAACTGGTCCCAGTTAGCAGTCTCATGGTCATATTCTGAATTAACTGGAGTTTCCAAACCATTTTCAAATGCAGCCCCATACCCAGTGCATTGCAGTAGTCCACACAGGAAGTTACCAGGTAATGGATAACTGAAGCAAGACTGTTTCTGTTCCAGTAGATTCGTAGCTGGCATACTGTCACATTATTTTGTTTAGCTTCAGGGTTCCAGGGTTCTTCATTAGATGTTGACAGCAGCTAGGCATAAGTGAATATCCAGTAGTGATGAGCTTAGGTCAGAATAGTATCATGGACCTGTTTGTAATACGTGGTGAGTTGTTGCCCAGAAGGCTCATTGTAACCCTGGGGTCAGAAACCAGGTGCTGATTCTGTACCCAACATGTGCATGGGTGGATTTCCTGATTCCCAGCCCCCGCTGATCAGCAGGAATCGGGTTGGCAAAAGGAAGACAGCTGTTCTCCTCCTGCTTACTAGCCTC